CCTTTCAACCGTGAACAGCCTCTATGATCCTCTCGGCTTAGTAGCTCCAATCACCATACAAGGCAGAGCTCTTTTGCGAGAACTGACTACTGAAGCTTGTAGCTGGGACACGCAACGTCCTGAAGAGAAGCTGAAGGAATGGGAAGCATGGAGGGACTCACTGCAAGAGCTGAAGAACCTTCACATCCCTCAAACCTACACTTCAAAGTCCAAGATGAGACGCACCGAGTTGTGTGTGTTTTCAGATGCATCCACCAAAGCCATTGCAGCAGTTGCCAATCTCAGGACCCTCGACAACGATGGACTCATCGAAGTGGGCTTCATCCTTGGTAAAGCAAATTTGCCCCACGATCTCAACCCACCATACCACGACTTGAGCTGTGTGCTCCAATTTTGGCTGTTGAGATAGCAGGACTCATCCTGGATGAAATTGATCTAACACCAGATGCAGTGAACTTCTATTGTGACAGTAAGGTTGTCCTCGGGTACATATGCAATGAAACCAAACATTTCTATGTGTATGTACACAACAGAGTTCAGCGCACCCGCCAGTCAACGCAACCTGATCAGTGGCATTATGTTCCTACAGAACACAACTCTGCTGATCATGCTTCGGGGGCACTTCCAGCATCTCAGCTCACCAGCACATCGTGGTTCACGGGACCGGCTGTCCTGCGTAAATCCACTCAGATCCACGAAAAGCAGATTCATTTCGAGCTGGTCGACCCCAAATCTGACGCGGACATCCGACCAGAAGTAAGGAGTTTCATCACCCAGGCAGAGGTGAGACAGCTTACCCCGCAGCGATTCGAGCACTTTTCCACCTGGAACTCACTCTTAAGGGGCGTTGCATTCCTCATTCATGTCGCCCGCTCATTTAAGAAGGAATTAGGAAGTGAGTCCAATAAATGTGCCGGCTGGCATCAGTGCAGTGGACCTCGCACCCCAGATGAGCTTTCTCAAGCTAATAGCATCATCATGTCAGTCCAAAGAGAGGTTTACCTTAACGAGATCACTGCCTTGAAGAAGAAAGGAGACGTCCCAGGCAGGAGTTCACTCTCAAAGCTTAACCCAATTCTGCAAGACGGGATCATTAAAGTTGGAGGACGTCTCAGACATGCCCAGCTGGACAGAGGTGAGAAAAACCCCACCATCCTGCCTGGCTACAATCATGTAGCCAAACTACTGGTGCGCCACTACCATGAGCAAGTGGAACACCAAGGCCGCCACTTCACCGAAGGAGCCATCAGAGCATCAGGCCTTTGGATCATCGGTGGTAAGAGACTCATCAGCTCTGTCCTACACAAATGTGTAACCTGTAAGAAGCTCCGTGGCAAAACTGAGGAACAGCAGATGGCAGATTTACCGGCCGAGCGACTTAGCACCTTGCCGCCTTTCTCGTACGTAGGTTTAGACGTATTCGGACCATGGATGGTCGTCACGCGTCGCACCAGAGGAGGCCAGGCCAACAACAAGCGCTGGGCAATCTTGTTTACCTGCATGAGTACTAGAGCGGTGCACATTGAAGTCATCGGGTCCATGGACGCTTCAAGCTGCATCAATGCACTCAGGAGGTTCTTTGCCATCCGCAGACCAGCTAAACAGCTGAGATCGGACTGCAGAACAAACTTCATCGGAGCTTCCAAAGAGCTGAAACTTGATAAAGAACGGCACCAGGGTATTGGAGTCCAGCGCTACCTCGCCGAACAAGGTTGTACTTGGGTTTTCAATCCGCCCCACTCTTCACACATGGGAGGTGTATGGGAACGGATGATCGGAGTAGCACAAAGAATTCTCGCCTCCAAACTGCTGCAGAGAAAACCTCTGAACCTGACGCACGGAGTTCTATGTACTGTCATGGCCGAAGTAACAGCCATCATCAATGCCAGACCTCTTGC